GGTACTAGGGAAGAACAGAAGCAGGGGACAGTGGCCTCTGTGAGTCTCCTGGGAGGGCTGTCTGGGATGCAGCTCATCTGGACTGCCTGTCTTCACAGAGAGCTGGTGTTGATTGAACACTTACTCTGTGTGAGCCAGTATACTAAACGCCTTAGATTTCATGAAATAGTTCTTTTTTTGGAGAGATAGAGTCTCACTTTGTCACCCAGGCTAAAGTGCCATGGCCTCAGCCTAACTCACAAAACCTCAAATTCCCGGGTCCAAGTGATCCTCCTGTCTCAACCTCCTGAGCTGCTGGGATTACAGGTGCCTAACACAGCACTCAGCTAATTTTTCTAATATTTTAGTGGAGAAGAGGTCTCACTGTTGCTCAGGCTGGTCTTGAACTCCTGAGCGCAAGGGATCCTCACCCCCACCTCGGCCTCCCAGAGTGCTAGGATTACAGGCGGGAGCCACCAAGCCTGGCCTGTGAAGTAGTTCTTACCTATATACAGAGAAATGGGTTCAGAGAAGTGAAGTAATCAAAGTCACACAGAACTAGTAAAGGGCAAAGCATGAACCCAGATTGGGCCGACTCCCACGTCTGTGTCCTTAACACCTTTTGCATATCACTGCTGTCTTGTGAGAGATGATATGAGTGACAGAAAAGGATTCTTGGGCACGTGGAGCTTCAGTCTGTAATCCCTGAGAGAAGTTCTAAGAGAAAGCTATCATTACCAATTTCTCTAGTTCCTGGGGGGAAGGAGGCACATGAATATTTCTTTTATTCCTTCCATTCAAAATAAAGATAAAGTTTGATTCTAACAAGGACAGAAAAGGCCTTTCACCCTGGATTGGGCATCCAAGCCCTGGTCTGTAGGGCTTCCATTAATCATGCCACTGTGGGCAAGGATACCTTATTTTCTGCATTTCATTTTTCTCATCTGAAAAGCTCTATCATCCCCTGATTTTATGACTCACAGGAAAGGACTTGTTGGTTTTTGGTGTTCATGTGGAACCAGAAAACATTTTTATTGACTTTCTAGTTCATCTAGTAACTGTGCCACTGGAAACCTAGCACTTCCAGTGGCGCTGTGACCAGACCATGTTTCTAGCCTCAATTCTGCTGGATGGAAATACTGAGACAGAGACCTTGAGGGGCTGGGGTTCCCGTGATCCACCTGAACATGGAGGCAGTGCCAGGATTAACCAGCCTCCCCATCCTTCCATGGCTTTTCCAGAAAGGACGCAAAGCGGGAACGATCCCTCCACTAGAGGGCGCAGCGGCAGCAAGCAGAGGACAGGGAGGGACCTTCAGGAGGGACAGCTAACACATTCTGGAAGTACAGAGGGCACAGAGCTTCCTATCCCCTGAAAAGAGACCTTCCGGTGTTGCAGAGAGAGGCAGGCCTCAGAGACGCTCACTGCCATGGCAGATAACCCACCTGAGGGCAGGTAAAGAATATAAGTTTTTGTTACTGTGTCTCCATGAAGCAGTTAGATTTGATTCTGGTGGGTTGGGGAACTGGAATTTTATTTTTTGCAAGACCCTTCCCAGGACAGAACATACTAGAGATAGTGCTGGCAAGAGCTAAGGAGAAAAGTGCTCACAGGCTCACTCAGGGCTCAGCACCAAGAAAACTCTCCCTGGGCAGCTTCTTCCTCAAGCTTCCCAGAAGGCAGCCTTGGGTCATGTCCCCAAGGACCTAAAACCCAAGTTCTTTCATCCACTCCCTAACTCCTAATCAATTGTTTATTAATCTTTGCTTCTCAGTAACTAATTCTGTTAAATAAAGTTTAATTGACTGAAATTTTGGGACTCGGCAGCATGCAAGAAATTTATTACAAATAATATTTAAGGATCCTGGTGAATTTACTTAGAAAATGAAATATTCCTTTTTTGATTTATTTAGGCTTTTCATTTTGTTTTTCCTTCACCTTCTCTTTATCTTCACTTAGGCTACAAATATGAAAGACAGTCAGTTTTCCACAAAAATGCTAATCTCCACCAAGTTGCACAGGGAGGCGAATCATTAAATATAGCCAGAGAAGGAAGCAGGCACTTCAAAACAAAGGATGCACAAACCCAAACGTTCCATCCTGCCCAGGTCCCTGGGGTGTTCTGCTGGCTGAGCTCTTCCTGAAGCCACTCCAGGATTTCAGGACGGAGTAGCGTTCTCACTGCTCTCAGGCCAGAGCACCACTTTCCACTTTTTCTTAGGTTTTTTTTCCCACCTTATTCATTGTGGTGCACAGAGGAAGCCCTGGAAGAAGATTCTAGAGAACTGATTTCTCCTCCCCGCTCCTTCCCCTAGTGTTGCGTATGTCTACAGGCACATCTACAATCGAACAGTGTGAACCAGCTGATCACAAGATCCCTTTCAGCTTCAAGATTCTACTTCCTAGAGGGCCTGCTTTAAAACTGCAGAAAACACGGTCTTGCCTATATTGTCAGACTGGTAGGACACCTGTGTCTTTGGTTAGATCAAAGTTTGGGGGATGAGAGAGTGGGCCTGTGATTATTTGTTTGCAAGACTCTTGCCCACACAATAAAGATGGGCATCATTCTTTGAAATCTAACACTCTATCTACCATATAGAGCAGTAGCATGACGTTAGACTCACTCAATTTTTCTATCTCAGTGGGTTAATAATTATCAACAATGATGGTGATGATTAACACATATTGAGTGCTTAACTGATTTTGATTCTCTCAACAACCTATCAGTTGGATTCTATTATTATTTCCATTTAATAAAAGAGGGAACTGAAACTTAGATTGAGTACCTTGTCCAAAGTCTCAGATTTTATGAGAGGTAGAGACAGGATTTAAATCCAGGAAGTCTGATTCTGGAGTCTGAGTGCTTAACCACATGGATTCATTACTAATGCCGCTGATTACTGGTTAATAATCTGGAATCCCTGTTCCCTGGAAATCTTCAGACCACAGAAGGACATAGCATCAGTGCCATATGTCTTACTGACAGAGTTTTGGTAAATTCTTTCTCCTCTCTTCAATAATCTCTTTTAAGCCTTGTTTTTCTTAGGTCTTGGGCTCATATGTTCCTTTATTACACAGCTTTTATTTATTGGATCAGGCTGCTTCAGAGTGTATGTTGGGGATGACTTTGGTGGTGAAGGTGTCTGAAAGTGACAGAAAGGGAAGTTGGAAGGAAGGGTAATGATCGCTACCTCTGATACCACCACTGATCTATTGTTGATTGTACGAGTAACTCGGTTATGTCTTTAATCACAATCTAACCTAATAAATGGAGACAATTATATTTGCTATCATCTTCTTTCAAGAAACAAGTGACCTGTGTATGTGTGTTGGCAAGTATATGTATATATAAAGAAAAAATTATCAAGATGATTTGGTAGGCATTTAGACAAATGGTTAGTAAATTTAATCCCAAATTATCACCACAGACACGGAGTTTAAGTTCAAATGATTCTCTGTGCTATCCACAAAAGACTGTCACAGATTAGCATGGTAGGAAAAGATGGAAAAAGCAGAGACTGAGTTGTAAGCCTAATCATTAACAGGATATAGGTTTCTCGTGCTTTATGCTGCTATAGACTAAATGGAAACTCATTGCTCTCTTTTAAAAATTCCAACCGTTAACATCCTTACCTTGTTAAGAAAGAATAAATCACGTTTGCTCTTGAGGTAGTTGGATAGATTTCCATACTTGCAGTATTCAACAATCACCATCAGAGGCCCTGCAACCAAAACAGCATATGTATATATGGACTCAGCCATGAGGAGCCAGGCAGCCATTGCCAGTCTTCAGCCTGCATGAGAAACTTGAAACCGACCTGTCTGTGTAGTAGTGGGACCTAGAGATGCATTTTAGGGATGGGAGACTCATGAACATGCTGATTCTTCCCAATTTGACCTGAAAAGGGATTTAAAAATTACACTACCAGGTGGTGCCCGTAGCTCAGTGGGTAGGGTGCCGGCCACATACACTGAGGCTGGCAGTTCAAACCTGGCCTGAGCCTGCTAAACAATGACAACTGCAACAACAACCAAAAATAGTCGTGAGTCATGGCAGGCGCCTATAGTCCCAGCTACTTGGGAGGCTGAGGCAAGACAATCACTTAAGCCCAAGAGTTTAGAGTTGCTGTGAGCTGTGATGTAACAGCACTCTAACCAGGGCGACAGCTTGAGACTCTGTCTCAAATAAACAAACAAAACTACCAATAGAAGAAAGGGGCAGGGGAGTGAAGGGACATATTAGAAAGAAAAGAGTAAAGGAGGAAGAAAGAAAGAACTTTGAGGAGAGGAGAGACAAAAGCCAGCCACCTACTTTGCCAGACCCCGGTGAGTAGAGGGACTGCTGGTCCTGGGCCCCAGGACTGTTCACCTGTTCATGCCTCTCTCTCAGGAAAGAGAACGGCCTGGCCCGTCTCTCTGTCTCGCAGCCACAGCCGCAGCAGGCTGCCTGGCGAGACCACCGGAGTTTGGCTGGGGGCTTGTCAGAGAGCCTTAAAGCAGAGGTTGGCAAACTTTTTTTGTAAAGGGCCAGACAGTGCATATTTTCAGGCCAATTAACTACTACTTATTTCCGCCTTTGCAGCGTGAAGACAGCCATGGATAATACAACTAAATCTGACTATGCCTGAACAAAACTTTATGAGCACAGAAACTTGGATTTCATGTAATTTCACCTCACAAAATATTATTCTTACGATGTTTTCCCCCTAATTATTTAAAAAGGTCAAACCATTCTAAGCTTATAGGCTGGCCAAAGTTTGCTGACCCAGGATTGAAAGGAAACAAGAAGGCTGGGAAGGAAGTCCAGGGGTCCCCTGGGTCCCACGTGGCATCCTGGCCCACAGCACGGTTCTCCTTCCAGGTCAAAGGGTGAATGACCTACAGCTGCTCCACCCACTGCTGCCCTGGGCAAGCCGGGAGCTTGGTGCCCCCACCTCCAACCCCTAACCCATGCCCTTACCCCAACTCCCTAGTTCTGAGGTGGCTGGTCCAGGTGTAGAGGTTTTCTGTTACTTTGAGGACTTTGCTAGTTTTTAGATGTATGTTAGAAATCCTAATGGCACCTCCTCCTTTCCCCTCAGGCTTCCAGAAAGGGAAGTTGCTTCCTGAGCTTATAAATCTCCCCTCCATAGAGGGAGGACTCTGCGGATCTTGAGCTCTGCCTGGCGTCTGGCAATGCACTTCGGAGCTGAGGGGGTGCACTTTGAGGTGGGTTCAGATGCAAAGTTGTTTTTTTTTTTTTTGAGACAGGAGCCTCAAGCTGTCCCCCTGGGTAGAGTGCTGTGGCATCACAGCTCACAGCAGCCTACAACTCCTGGGCTCAAGCAAGTCTCCTGCCTTAGCCTCCCAAGTAGCTGGGACCACAGGCGCCCGCCACAACACCTGGCCATTTTTTGGTTGCAGCCGTCATTTTTGTTTGGCAGGCCCGGGCTGGATTCGAACCCACCACCTTGGGTATACATGGCTGGTGCCTTAGCCACTTGAGCCACAGGCACCAAGCCCAGATGCAAAGTTGAAGCAAACAAAATGAGGTTGCTACTACAAAACCCTGAGAAAAGCTTATCAAGGGATAATGGAGAAGTGGGCGGGGCTGTGTCTAGGTCCCTCCACTCTATTTCCGGCCTCCCCAGGCCTTATCTCTCTCTACCTGCCACTGCCCTAGAAGGTAGTTCTTCCCCAGCTACCCTTCATCCCCACTATCTTTGTTAAAAGGTTGGGAAACACGTATCTGCATAGTCAGGGAGGGCCGGACTGCGGGCCTGGGACAAGTCGGCTGCTAAACAGGACAGGCAGTGGTGGCAAAAGCACCCGGCAGGCTGGATAAATGTCCTCAGTGGGCTGCATGTGGCCTGCAGGCATAGTTCGAGGATGCTTGGATAGGTCATATGCACCTTTTCTTTGGCTCACACAATGACTAGGTATCTCCATGGAGAGGCGAGAAAGGTCTGTGAGAACATGCTAAATTGTAAGGTGCAGCTCTGTCCCTGTCCTCATGAGGCCAGTCTGCATGGGGGATGAGAAGGGAAGGGCCCTCTGCTGTCCCCTACATCCCTCCTCTCTGGGATCCTGCTAGTAGGGACTCGTTCATTGCTTTTGGTGAAGCCTCCAAGGGATGTGCAACCTTCCATGCTTTCACCTTAGTTCGGGTCACACTCCTTCAAAGTCAGTCTGAGAGAAGAATGGCCCCACTTGGCCTGGAGCCTGTGAATGGAGATCTAAAAGCCCGCTTCAGAACCTTTCAATTAACTGTACAGGGAAGGCAGTTCTAGGATGGAAGCACCTTTCCATAAGTGGACAAACTATTTCCTCTGGACCCATTGAGAGGCTGTTTTCCTGGAGGTGAGGAAGAACAGGGCTGGGAAAAAGGAACCATATGTCAGAGAAATCTTCTCCCAGTGCTCGGGAGATGGAGCAGGCCCCCCCTTCTTTACCTCCTTGCTTGGTACAGGCTCCCAGCAGGTTAACCACATTTAGATGGTGGCCAATGTGGGTCAAGATCTTGAGCTCAGTCATCAGAGCTTTGTACTCGCTGGCTGTGGCCCCCTCTGTGTGAGAAGCAAGGAAGAGTCAGGGCCATAGGACAATGGGCGTCCATTGTCCAAGGCGGCATTCCCGCCCTCCTCATTTGTCACTGCTCAGCCGGTTACTTCACTAACTTCCCCACATTCTGCAGAAAGGCCAAGTCTCCAGACTGTTTTCATTACTCCCACCCCCCTGAGCCAACATCCTTTTGATTACAGTAAGGCCCAGCACAGTGGTGGGGTTAGTCACTGGACATTTCCTCTTGGTGGACCTTGTTCTGTTCAGCAATGTGCTGACTCAGAGCTGGGTACCTCATGAAAGTGCCTTCCAGAGACTTCCCTTCTGTCAGAGCCAGGTACAGCAAGAACCCTCCAGGCAGAGGCTACACCTCCATTCACCCTCTTCTCACTCTCCCCCCTTTGGGAGTCACAAAGAGGAAGCACAAGGGGCCTGCAAGGGCAGAATGACCATTTCTGTAAACATCTTTGCCACGTGTTATTTTCTCCCTAGAACCTTTTTTCCCTGGAGTTCACAGGGTTATCTCTGGCTGTGTGGATTCATAGCATCTGACTTCAACTTCGTTCTCAGAGATAAGCAATAAGCCCAAGAATTAGCAGAGTCTAAAGCTGAAATTGAGTTTGTTCTTGCTAGTTAATTTTTAAGGCATTTAAATATTTTAAATTATTTTTAGAAATATAAAAGTCGATTAATCTTGCTGGAGAATATTCCAACAACATGAGTTGGTCTAAAAAGCTATGGAGTGAAAGGATCTAGTGAAAGCCACTGCAACTCACAGACCTTCCTAGAAGCAGCCACTGTCAACGGTCTGGGGTTCAGAGCTTTTTCTGTGTGCTTATGTGCCCAATCAAAAGCCATCTTTTGAAGATTTATATAAATGGATCTTATATATAAATGTATTTTTAAAATTTGTTCCTCCCCTTTTTCAATATATCAGAGACATTTTTCCAATCTTTAAAATTGATTAATGGTCTTCCTGACATTTAGAGTTTCTACAGTTTTCTTGCTGTTACATAAATAATGCTGTTTTCTTGCTATTACATAAATAATCTTTGTGTACATATGCTAATATTTCTCTAAGATAGAGTCCTGGAAGTGGGTCAAAGGTATGTGTAGTGAACAGTGTCACAGAGTTGTAGATACCGACAGAGTATTTCATAAGCACAAATCATTTTTTAATAATAATCGGATAAACTCCAGAAGGCTCCCATTGGGGCTAGGGTTGGCTCACAGTAGATGCTCAACAAATAATTTTGGATAAATAAACATGATTATTCCCATTTTGGACATGGGTGTAGGGTCCAAATGGTTAAGGCTTTTGCTCAAGGACACTCTAAAAAGGCTTTTAACTCATGGCCCTTGTTTGGCATTCTGCCTTTTTCATTTTTTCCAAAACATATGGCCAACCAATTTAAGCAAGAAAGCTGAATTTTTAAATAGTTTTAAAAAAAATTTTATAGAGTGGACAACATGGCAGTCTTTTCCAATGAAAGCTGATGGCTAAAAAAATGCATTTATAAAGATATTATGTACATAATTTCTAAATTACATAGAAGAGATTCTGTGGGCCTTTAGAATAAATCTCAAGTCAGAATTTTCTCCTTTTATTTTTTTCATGTTTTTATTTTTTTGAAACAGAGTCTCACTCTGTTGCCCTGGGTAGAGTGCCATGGCATCACCATAGCTCACAGAACCTAAAACTTGGGCTCAAGTGATCCTCTTGCCTCAGCTTCCTGAGTAGCTTGGACTACAGGTGCCCACCACAATGCTTGGCTAGTTCCTTTTCTATTTTTAGTAGAGAGAGGTTCTCTTTCTTGCTCAGGCTGGTCTGGAACTCCTGAGCTCAAGCAATCCACCTACCTTGGCCTCTCAGAGAGAATTTTCTCCCTTCAAACTCATCAGTCCCTCCAACTATTCCTGTCCCTTTGGCACAGAGAAAAAATTGGCTCTGTTTCCTAAGATGGTTCCATTTATAGGTGGGACCACAGGTGTTACCTTGGACCCACAAAAGACTAGTCTAGACATCAGGCCTGTCTCTCCTACAGATGGTGAGTGGTAGGAAGCAGGGAAATGGGAGCAGCTAGGGAAGCAGATGCTTCTGGATTTAGCATTGACTTAACTCTAGCTGGGCCATTGGACTGCCTCCCTAAAGCTGGTCAGGATCATTCTCACGATTTTGGAGCAGCAGCCCAATTCTAGGAGGCCAGGTCTTTGCAGCAGCTCTTTTGTGGCACTATGATGCCAGGAAAGGAGCATTGCGCTCAAAGCTGGAAGACATTTGCAGACAAACTCTTACTTCTGTACTGAGCAGCTGTGTAGCCTCACAGAGGCTGTTTAACCTTTCTGGTCCATGTTTCCCCATTTCAGACTGGGAGAATAATGTCTACCTCACAAGGCTGCGGAGAGAAAATAAGAAAAATGGCAATATTGTGTGGGTTCAACTAACGTATTAAAGTGCCCACTCTGGTGCTTTCTCACGTAGGAGACGTGGTGCAGCCTCTTCTCGTCAGAACCTCGGCTCAGGGAGAGAGCCATGACGTGCAGGTATTCTCACAGAAATGCCCATCGTCATCTGGGTAGTTCAACCCAAACAAAAGTTCTGACTTGTACATGCCCATCACCTTCCCCGGCTACTTTCAGAGGATAACTGGTGGGTTCTTTGTAGAATTTTAGGATATTAGTCTTTCCTTGATGAAAACAGCCTTTTGAGGTAGAAGACATTTTTTCATGGGGTTTTTGCTGACCCTTAGAGCTTGCTGGGCCTCAGAATGCCCTGGCAATATCTTAGAAGTTTTGGAATGTTAAAAAGTGCCCTGGGAGTTTTCAGGCCTGTTTCTGGTTGGGAGACCTTAAAAACAAGTTGAAATAATACAAAAAACCCATCACGAGTGAGGAAATGAAGTATTTTCTACACTTTAGCAGACATATGAGTCTTTGAGACATTAGGTTTACACAGTTTTCACTGGTCTTTATTTTTAATCTCTCTTACGGTGGCAGTCATAACTCACTGTGCTACTTGGCTCTGCCTCCCGTGCTTCACAGCACCTTTCAGTACTAGAAAGATAATGGAGTTTTCTTAATTTCTAAAGAGGAACTGTTTTATGGTTGGGGCCTGACAGTATAAAATAGAGTTCTGATCAACTCAATTGTTCAAGCATTATCATTTCACTTTATAGTTAGGTCAAGCTCAGGCTAAGCCTTTGGGACTTAGGATGTGCGGCCTAATTTCCATTACAGTATCACAGTGGCTCAGGCCAAAATGTGAACCTGTGGTTACAATGGGCTTATGTCACTGGTAGTCTAGAGTCTGAGCTGTGAAAGGAGGAAGAACTCTGAGGCGACAGAGATGGTTTTCCCATGGACAATACTTGATTGTTCTATTTACAAGGTATATTCTGAGCTCGTGCTGGACTCATATAAAACTTCTTGGGCAAAGGGGTTTCCAGTAGTAGAAGAAAATAAGGCGGCCAGAGCAGAAATAGCCTGTGTCTATTCCTAAGCTATATCCAGTTTGCACCAACATTTTGCAGGAATGCAAAAAGGTGGTGGCCCAGTTGACAGCTTAACTACAGCATACCTACCTTTCAGCATTTTCACAGCCACAGTCCTGCATGTCGGGGATTTTTTAATGCCAAATGCAGATGCTTGAACCACTTTTCCAAAAGCCCCTCTTCCAAGTGATTTGCCTGCAATGAAGAGAAGACATTGGTTTGTTTGTCAAGCCCGAAGGGTCAGTTTAAGTCTTTCTCAGGAAGGAAATGCCTTTTCCTATGTGTGTTTGTGAGGCATGTGGCTTTGAATGGAATCTCCAATGAACTAACCCCAGGGAGATCAAGTAGGGGACACATTTCTGGGGTCTCTTCCTTCCAACTCTTTTTTTTTTTTTTGGCAGTTTTGGCCAGGGCCAGGTTTGAACTCGCCAGCTCCAGTATATGGGCCGGCGCCCTACTCCTTGAGCCATAGGCGCCACCCTTTCCTTCCAACTCTTAACTGCTTCTGAGGGCCCACATCCTTCAGAGCTAGGGTAGGTCCCTGGAAGGCATTCAGTGAGGGTAGATGTCGCTTTTCCTTTTACAGAGACCCATCAGATGAGAGATGCTACTAAATCCTGTGTGTTCTCTCCCATTGTCTAATAACATGAGTCCCAAGAAGACTTCCTTGCCACTTACGGTCATTTCTTCTGATCTGTTTTCAGCAAAAAAGGGAGAAATAGAGAATGGCAGTTACTGCTCTGGACTATAATCATGCTCATAACTTAAAAACATAATCACTAAGTCACTACTCAGACCTCATTCTCAAGTAGAATACTCCTAGTCTTTCTAGAGGATCTATATGAAGATGACAAAGCCTCAAGTTTCTTCAGCCCATGAGCCTGTCAACCACTAGTAATAATTTGTTTCAACCCCAGAGAGGTGGTTGCTAAATGTGACAAGAAAGCAAGGTTTCAGGCTGGGCTTAGTGGCTCACGCCTATAATCTAGTATTCTGGCAGCCCGAGGTAGGTGTGTTGCCTGAGGTCAGGAGTTCGGGACCAGCCTGAGCAAGACTGAGATCCCATCTCTAAAACAAGCCAGGCGTTGTGGTGGGTGTCTGTAGACCCAGCTACTTAGGAGGCTGAGGCACGAGGAGCTATGATGCCATAGCACTCTACCCAGGGGGACAAAGTAAGACTCGGTCAAAAAAAAAAGAAAAAAGAAAAAGAAAGCAAAGTTTCTTATGAGACCTGTTATGTTATACTATAATGACAATTAACACTTTTCTTTCCCTACTTTCAAATGAGCCAACTTGGCTCAGAGGGTACTTAGCCCAGTGCCTGGCACGTGGAAGACCCCCTGTCTATTCTCAGATGGAGCACCGTATTTGGGAATTTGTAAGATAGTCATAGTGGCTGGAGGGGCCCCTGGGATGAGACCTTGAGACTGATGCCTTTTGGGGAGGATACTCCCTGGAATACCTTGGCTTCCTTTTATATCAGGAAACTTCCTTTTGCACATCAGGAAATAGCTAAATATTAATAGAACCTAGAGAAAGAGCATATCTCCAGCACGATATGCCAAAAGAATAGTCAGCCAAGAAAGCTGTTCTTTTCTTTTCTTTTTCCTTTTTTTTTTTTTTTTTGTGGCTCTTTTGGGGTGAAAAAAATAAGGAAGAACAAAACACCACTGGTTGAAAGTAAATCCTGGCTGTTACAGTGTTAATTTCACATACTTGCCTCCTTTCCCAACCAAGTCCTCTTTCTCCGACTGTCCTGATAATGTGCCTTCAGTTAATTAACCTTCCTTCCTCTCTTCCTTCCTCATACTCCAATCCCTTTCCCCAAAGGGCTTTTTTTCTTACGTTGCTTGTAAAGTTTGTAATGAAGCTTTCCTGTTCCGTTTATGGCTTTATGCACAACTGCTCAGTGACAAAATGTCTTCACCTTTTTCGGCTGATGTCTTCTAATCCCTCACCACCCAGGCATCCAATCAGAATATGTGGAAGTTTCAGTTAGCAGTGTAATCATTAGGGCCTCTGTGTGGCTACCACTCTGCGTCTATTTCATAGGGACTCACTGTGCGTTACGGAGGGAACACTGCTGAGATGACGTGCTTCTCTCTGGTCACGCATGCTCCTGGGGTGACTATTAAATGACATTCCTCCCAGCCCAGGCAACATGGACAGGGCTATAGTCTGTTTCCTTCTGCACATAAAATTGTCCAGGAAATAGACCAGAGTGGGGGATTCTTAAAATAAGCTGGGCACGGTGGCTCACGCCTGTAATCCTAGCACTCTGGGAGGCCGAGGTGGGTGGATCACTTGAGTTCAGGAGTTTGAGACCAGCCTGAGCAAGAGTGAGACCCCATCTCTGCTAAAAATAGAAAAATTAGCAGGCACTATGGTGGGTCCCTATAGTCCCAGCTACTAGGAAGGCTGAAGCAGGAAGATCGCTTGAGCTTATCATTTAAAGTTATGAGCTATGATGCCATGGCACTCTAGCCTGGGCAACAGAGTGAGACTTTGTCTCAAAAAAAAAAAGAAAGAAAAAGAAAAAGAAAGAAAAGTTATGTTAACGTAAAAGAGCCTCCAGCAGACCCTGAAGGGACTGTGCATCGAAGTTGGGTGTGGGAATAGCACCTGCCTAGGCCTTTTCCAAACTGGGCAGAGTCACATTTGGTTGAAGGTTTGTTCCTTGCTTTATTTAGGATTAAAAAGTACTATTTTTTCTTCTGCAGTGATGTCTACCATCTGCTATAGTATCAGGGTAATCTCTCCACACACCCTAAGACTGGCACTTATGCAAGGCAGGTGGAATCTTTTCCCTTTCCTCAGCTTCAGCCCTCGCATCCCCTTCTCAGCCGTCATAACCTCTTTGTTTTAACAAGTGTTTGGAGACTTTGCTTCTGTCGGTGAGAATACACTGCTTCTCACTTGGCTTCTCTCAGCCTTTTCATGCATTTTCTTGGAAGCTGACTGCTGCCTCATAAAACAGCATGAAGCTATTATGGCTGTTTAATCATTTCATGAGTTGGAATCCTTCTGCAGGCCCATGGTTCCAGCTTCAGGGGAGCCTAACTGCACTGGAATTGACCTTGGCTGATCCTCCTATTCCCTTAAATTCTCCTTAGTATTGCCTGGAATGCCACTTACTAGCTCAGAAATGTGCTAGGTCATTGTCATACAATGTGAGGATACTGGAACCTTCTCCAAGAATGTCCTGGACTGGCCAGGGTCCCTGGCCACTCTAGTAGAGTGCAGGACAGCACAAATTGGGCCTACTCTGGCATTTGTAGCAGCACCAGCCCTGACCCCATCTGCTTGCCAAATTCTGGTTCCCTGTATCGTTTCCCGTGTTAGGTAATTCTGACTTTCAGTTATTTTCCAATAGAAAGATACAGTGAAGACATCATCCTAACTTCTGTTTTAAATTTATAGGAGCTGAATTGTCTTCCTGAGTTAATGAGGAATCATGAACCAAAACCCTAAAACAACAAAAACCGCAAACAAGTTTCTTTTGTTTCTGGATTTCAGGAATGTCAATGGTAGCAACACCTTTGACCCAAGCTTCAATTGTAGCCATCTGTCAGGTAGTATAAATTCAGCTTCCCTCACCAGGGCTGCTGTTAGTCACTCACAGATAGAACCTGGTCTGTGTTTTTCTCTCCATTTGCAATCTCAGTGTAACTCTGCCGTCACACCAGCTTTTTCTGTCTATCTGGACATAATCCTGGTTACTTTCACTTGCTAGACATTACTTCAAATCACTTTCTGTCATTTATTTGGCTTAAAAAATAAACGCGTCGTGGGTTTCCCTGCTCCCACGTTCATCCGTTGGAGGAGCGTGCCTCTGGGCCTGGCGGCAATGCTGTGTTAAAGGACAAACTTAGCAGACTTGACACACGTGCTCTCAGCCATCAGAGACACTCAAATGGACATCAGCCAAATCATAGCATGTGGCAATTCCGGAAAGGAACAGAATGATAAGAAAGATCTTCCACCAGGCGAATCTCTTGAAATGGGATTATGTGAACCCGCAGCCCCCCAAGGGAACCCTGGCAGGAGGATTAGCTGTCTCCCTAGATATGATGTGGACCACAGTGAAACCAGGAAGGAATGAAGAGATGGGAGGAAAGCTCATGTGTCCTGTGCTGGAAGAAGCATGTCTGATGGTGACTAATAACTCTGGAAAGCAGTGTGGCCTGAGACTGGCTCATGATTGTGGGAAAATGATCCCATGTTCCCTGCCAAGGTCACTGAGGGGTTGGGCTAACTGCCATAGAATTTAGACTTGCAGAAGGAACTCCTCTAATATGCCACCTGCCCTTAACTACTCTAAATTTAGTCGGCTTTTTTTCCTGTCAGCAGCCATTGCTGGCTTTCTTCTCTCTCTCCAGCTTTTAACTGATTTCCAAGTTTCTTCCTCAAGCCAAGCAGAACAGACTCCTGAAGCTAGTCTTTCCTCAATGTAAGCAGAATCATTTTAAGGCCCAAGAAAAACAAAAAAACAAGAGAAATCATTTTCCCCTCTCTGCCCTCTCACCCCATTATATAATAGACCCTCCATAGTTGGCCACCTTCCTATAGGGACCACCTCCTTAAGTTGACCTAATTTGCATAGACTGGACATGTGTCAGTACAGTAGGCCCGGTTCCTTATGTTGACCACCTCTGTATGTAGACAAGTTGTTACAGTCCCTGGGGTGGTCAACTTCTACTGTAGTTTGTGTGGGGGGAGAGAGGCAGCGCTATTGAGTTTGGAGCAAACAGGTTCGTCACACTGAGAGTGACAAGCTCCAGGAACACTGGATCCCCAATCTATTTTCCTAGTACCGCCTGCTAATGACTCTGGCATACACAGGGGAGAGTGGAAAACTTTCAGAAGCCATAATCTAAATGTTTTGGGTAGGAGTAATTGAGGCTATGATTGTTTTGTAGCACCACAGGCTGGAGGTTAATTTGCATCGTGACTTCTGAGCTGGAGGAGCTGGGGGGTAAGCTGAGGAAAAGCAGATTTGCCTGCTGTTTACAGCATCTGCACTACCTGCAAAGCAAACAGTCTTGGTTCTTCAAAAATGAAACTCAAAAGACTCCCTGAGGGCTGTCTTCTCTGTCTGGACTCTCCCAACAGCCCAGGAAATTCAAAGTCTATAATTTGTGGATTTGTGCAGAAGTTTGTTTCTTTGTTTTTTTATCCATAGCCTCGGGGCACACCAACTCTTTCACCCAATGTTTGACCTCACTGTTCCTTATTGTCCTCAGTTGTGTTCCGGATCACAGATTTCTGACTCCCCACTAGGCCCACTACTTGAGAATATCTGGATTGTGCACCTCCTGTTGGAACTCCTCCCTTACTACTTTGGCATCTGTCTCCAGACTGAGCCCTTGAGGGCAGAGACACAAGCGTCTTTGTATCCCCAGGGCTTAGACCAGTGTCCGTTGATAACTGGTGACTGAACAAACAGGTGCTCCCTATCACCTATGCTGTAAGCTCTGCATTCCATCAGAAACGTGTAACTTTGTGTTCATCTTCCTTGCTCGTTGGTGAGCAGCTAGGGGGTACAGTCCCAGATCTAGTTGACTTTGACATCCCTCAAGGCACAGTGTTTTGCACGTAGTACGTACTTGGTATAGGTTTATGAATCTGTCAAACAAATACCTTACCCAGTTTAAGTCTCTCCCGGGCAAACTCCCACTTGCTGGCATCGTAAGGGAGACGCTCACACTGCTCATCCAGGGGGACTTCATCCGGGTCCATAATGATGGATAGGTAGTCAGTCTTTATTTCAGAAGAAGACTGAAAAATAAAGAGGTGTAAAGTCACCAAGAAGAAAACCACTTAAACAGCCCTGGAAATTCAGTGTCACCATCTACTGCTGTCCTGGCTCCTTTGAACTGTGTGTTCAGATACACAGAGTGCCCTCCACACCCACACTCGCACATCACCCGCACGTGTCACTTCTGCGTGCCCTCCACACACACACTCGCACATCACCCGCACGTGTCACATCTGCTAGCAGCTCTGTATCATTCCCATGCTACATTTCTGTAATGTGAGCTCCACCATCCCATCTTGTATAAAATGCATTCAAATTCTCCCATGACCGCATGTGTTGTGCTTTTGCTTAAACAATTACATGATGGTCTTTCTAAGAAATGCAAAGCATTTTTATAAAGTCATTCCAAACGATGACTAAAAATAACTTTCTGCGGCCATTCTGTACAAGCAGGAATATATGTTACTCACAGGCTAACTAGGTGCATCGCTGTGGCTTTTCTACATTTATTGGAAAGGTCATAAGTGACAAACCCAGGATCCCTGGTGCAGTGAAACGTACATTTTCCTTCCTTCTTTCCTTCCTTCCTTTCCTCCCTTCCCTTCCTTTCTGACAAGGTCTTGTTCTGTTGTCCAGGTTAAAGTAAGAATGCGGTGGTGTCATCACGGCTCCCTGAAACCTCGAACTCCTGGGCTCAAGTGATCCATCTGCCTCAGCCTCCTGAGTAGCTGGGACTTACAGGCATGTACTGCCACGGGAAAGGCACATTTCTTATGAAGTGTTAAAAAAAGAATGCCTGACCTGTTAGTTGGTTTAGCTATGTGAAAAGTCTATAGGGTCCATAAGTGAGATTAGAGTAAGGTTTACCTTCAGAAGAAGTAGAAGTTGATTATTTCAAAGGCCAAGGAATAAATATGGTATATGGCTTATACTACATGTGTAAGTATATTCTGAGTTCACTGGTTAGATGTCAAGTAAGTAAGGTAGACATCTGTCTTGAAGTGTTTGTTTATTTTGGAAATGCTAGCCAATCCCAGAAAACACCCTTTATTTCAGATTGTAGATAACTGGATTTACATTTAATGTCTTAGATTCAAATCAATGGTGTATTTCCTGTTAATGGGCAAATTTCCAGAATTGATGATTGCATTTCTGTGGGTAGATGCTTAGGCGGGGCAGAAAGAAAGCATGCTTTCCCATATAACTCTGGCCTAGGAATTATGTGAACTTCATTTAAATGAGTTTTGGGGCCCTTCCTTTTGGCAGCTTCCCTAAGGAGAAGCAGAGTTGGAATAGAAAAGACAACCTCTCCCAGCCGACCAGTTGACACCTACCCACATGCCTCAGGCCTCACTCACTCTGTCCCCGGCTGTCACAGCTCACCTCATCCATCACTTGCAGTCCTTCTCCTTCTCACTAAAATTATCACTAAAATGTGTGACAAATAGCTCAGGGCAGAAAGGTTTGCCAGGCCTCGAAAAGGATGGAAAACAGAGAGATGGGGCACGTTTGTGGTCTGTCAGTTTGGGGGGACTGATGTTAGACAAGTACACGTTCCCTCAGCAGGATGCCAGGTGCTCCTTAGAGAGCCAGTGCCCAGTGCAGCTGAGATCATAAGAAACAATCTCTAGTCCTTCAAGAGCACAAGAGGGCTGAATCCTAGCAAGGGGTATCTTGGATTTATGCAGGATGCCTGGGGAGGTTGGCAGTGGTATCGACTGAGGAAGGGGAACAGGGAGGGGTAGACAGACTCCCATGGGGCACTTAGGGGAATTTTTGGTGTATCTCAGTGAAGCAGATGAGCAGAAACACCAAACATCCTTAAGTAAGGGCTTTGAGGGGAGTATGATGGTAGCGTGTTAGCTGATAAACATTTATTCTTTCAATGAACGTTAGCACTGAGCAGCAACGAGGTGCTCTGTGGGGAGGCTGCATGGGTAAGTCCTTTAGAGCCCCAGCAGGGAGGCTCAACTTCTGCCCAGCCACACAACTTGGGGCCTACTTTCATTCTGTATAAAAGAGTTACGATAAAAGTACTTATCTCATAGGGTTGTTGGGAATACCAGATGAAATAATCTATGTAAAGCTGCTAGAACAGGGCCTGGTTTGTAATAAGCATCAATGTTAGCTGTGATTCAAACGCTGGCCCGTGCAGGGCAGGAATGAAAAGATGAAATCCAGGCGTTATCAGTGAGGAGTCCACATCACAGCAGGAGAAACCACATGTAGGAGAAATATACTGTGATGCCTTGTTCCTCTTGGCCTTCACTCAACCAATGCCTTTTCAGATTTTCTAGGGATTAGATTTTTGAACTAATAATGTCTTGCTCTCATCCTTTCTCATTGACATTAAAATTCATTGAACAGAATTTTAAAAATAGAAGGAAACCTTCTCAACTTAGTCTGAACTTATCTTTCCAGCTTTATTTCCAGAAGGTTCCTCTATAAGCAACCAGACTACTCTCCGATCTGGGGAGTAGGAAGGGGTAGGGCACGGCTGTTTTTCTGCTTCTTTCCTTCCAGCCACGACCTTCAAAGTCTGTCTCAAGCATCGCTTTCTCTGAAGTTTTTTCTCCCCCCTCCTCCTTTGAACTTGTATAGCCTTTGTACCCTTACAGATTTGGCAACTTTTGCTTTTGTTAGATGTATTTCCCTATATCATGTGTCTCCCCTTTCAAAACTATTGTGTGACCTTTGTTTCCTTCTAAAGCAGTGACCTTAATTGTCGTGTCTCAAAACCAATCACTCTGTAAGGCAGAAGCCTGATGTTACGCATTTACTACAGAGAATGGCTACCAGCCTTGCCTCCCATACCAACGTTGTAAAAGCTTTAAAAGTGTTCTGAACTAAGGTGCAACTGAAGTGACAGCTACTTTACGTCTCTGAGCCTCAGTTTCCCTCTCTGTAAAATGGGAATAATAATGTATCCACTTCTTTGCCTTTTGGGAAGAATTAACTGAGATGCTACATGATGAGTGTCCACAGGGCTAACTCATCTCCATAGAAATTGGGGAGACCTCCCGGCACTTTTCAAGTCTTGTTGATTTTGCTGCCTAAGTGTCTCTTGACTTTAACCATTAGTGAGAGCCGCCCTCAGTTCCTACATGGGCTGATATAAAGTCTCTTCCTGGTTCCTCTATTCACTCTTGCCCCCGCTGGTCTATTCTCACAGCAGCCAAAATGATCTTTCCAGATATGTATCTGTCTCACTTACTACCGCCCACCTTGGCCTAACATCCATCTTTTCCCCACTGCTTTTAGAATAGACTAAATTCCTCCCCATGGCCTACAAGCTCCTACTGAGCCAGGCCTTGTACACTTGCCATTCCTTTGTGGTCTCGCCTCATACCTGTTCTCCCCATTCTCCCCACTGCAGCTCTACTGGCTGCAGTCAGTCTCTCATCCTCACCATGTCCCCTTTCCCCTGCTCCAGCGTCATCCGGGCTGTTCCCTCTGCCTACACTTTTCCTGCCCTTCTTTCACCCGACTGCGCCTCTTGGCCTTCTATCAGGCAGCTTGCTCTTTCAGCAAGTCACAGTTCCAGTTTGACATTTGTGTGGTTGACTCAAGTCATTCTCCTCAGACTGCTCACTCCAGCATTTGCTCTCCCCTGTCACCAGGGGGCCTTGCCCAGGGCTGGCATTCTGTACTGAGCAGGCATGCAGGAAATATGGGAAGCATGGAAGAAAGAAAGAATGAATGAATGTTAACTCTTCTCCCACTGAATTTCACAGAAGCAGGTGGTACTGCAGGCCTGAATAGAACTCTGACTCCTGAATGCAAGCCTCGTTAGAGTATGAATCCCAGATCTCAGGCTCTAAAGAACTAAATTCTGTGATGGGACTCAGTGTACTTATTTGTATTTCCATAAGGTTATAAGGAATAAGTCAAGGGTGGGTCTTTATTTTGCCTTTCCTTTTATTTCTTAGCAGAGAAGGAGATTAAGAAAGAGTTCCTAGGTCTCATGCTGAAGAGATTCTATCACATCTCTTGTAAATTAACAGTATCCCTTCTGTCCCTAAGAAATATACATCTGTTCATTGTGCTGGCTTTTCTTTTGAATACCCTACCTTGGGATTAGAGACATTTTCATGATTTGTTTTTGGCATTCACTAGGTCAGAGGTAAGAATGAGAGGGAAGGGAAAAATACTCGTTTAGTGCCTGCTCTACACATGAGACCAGGCATTTCAGGAGAATGGGCTTCATCTACACCCTTACCCTTTTCATTTTTCTGATAAAGAGAGTTAAGAGGAGCCAGAAGAGGGTCGCAGCCACACAGGTGCACGTCAGAGTGATCAGCTCCAGGTTGGACTTGTCCGAGGTTCCTGGGGAGAGAAAATCACAAAAATGGTTCTAAAAAGAAACTCGTACACTTTGAGTCTCTGTGGTTCTCTACACAAGACCAGGTGCCCCTGCATGGTTCATCCTTGTGTACATAATCTGCTCACACAACACACAAAATTAGTCTCTGGGACAGATCCCTTCTTACCTTCTGAGTCAGGCAGTGTTCATGATATTAGTATAATGTACTCACATAAAAGACTTTCCAGGCTTGGCCCCCATAGCACAGTGGTTACGGCGCCTACCACATGTACTGAGGGTAGCGGGTTCAAACCTGGCCTGGGTCTGCTAAAAAACAACAAGACAACTGCAACAAAAAAATAGCCAGGCATTGTGGTGGGCACCTGTAGCCCCAGCCACTTAGGAGGCTGAGGCAAGAGATTTTCTTAAGCCCAAGAGTTTGAGGTTGCTGTGAGCTGTGACACCACAGCACTCTACCAAGGGTGTCATAGTGAGATTCTATCTCCAAAAAAAAAAAAGGAATTATCTTTAGGCTCAGCATCCGTAGCACAGTGGTTACAGCACTGGCCACATACACCCAGGCTGACAGGTTCGAACCCAGCCTGGGCCAATTAAACAACGATGACAACTGCAACAACAACAACAAAGAAGACTTTCCAGAAATTTTGCTGTCAAGTTTGCAAATTTCGTAAACCCAGAGATGCCCAATTAAGAGTCAGAGAAGAAATTAAAAATGAAATAAGTACAGCAGGAACAAAAGCCCATTAAACAGCTAAATCTGGACTATGTTAAATCTCCCTAATGGGTTTTAGAGGAAATTCTAAAGAAAAAGAAAAAAAAGAACATAAAATGGCTCCTTTGGGACTCACAAAATTCTTTCAAGTAGATCTTGAAAATAAAAATAAAACTCAAGGACTGTCACAATTGCCTGCTTGCTTCTTTTGGAACAGCCAGGCCTAACTACCCACAGCCTCCTCCCTGTGTCTGGGGCTCGATTTCTGACCTCTGCAGCAGCTGGCCTGCCGGGGCAGGATGAGAAGAGGTAGCTGGTAGACCCGCATCTTTCCCAGAATCCTTACTTCCCAGAATCACAGAGGTCAAAAGCTGAGCACCGTTCCTCCAAGACCAGAAAGAAAGGACCCAAAATATTCAAGTGATGCCACCAGAGAGGAGGCTCTGGAATTAGTAAAGGAATGCCTCAGTGATTCAGAACAGTGGTTCTCTATGTATTGATTCCAGGGAACAATTTCCCAGAAATTGTAAAGTAATGCCTTTTTCCTTTGACTTAATTAAAACAAGACAGAGATTTATATTCAGGTAGGCAAAGAACAAGTGAGACTTTTTCTTTTTAGAAAGGAGGATGTGGATGAGGATTTAAGGAGTAGGTGGCAATATCATCCCAATTTTATACATGAGGACTTCATCCTGTGGGCTTTTTGTTTCAGTCCAACAAAGAAACTCAAAAGTACTGAGTCCTACTGCAGGTGAGGGGAGGGGCTTCAGCAGGAAGATGAGTAAGAACAAACAGCCACTCTCAAGGGACCCATTCAAACCTAACCAAAAGACAGAGGCCAGCTCAAAGAAATTAGATTTTAAAAGATTCGGAGATCAAAGGAATATAATGCTTTTAGTAAGAAGTGGCATTTGGATTTCATCCCCCAGATGAAGTCAGGGGAGGGCATCATAGGCAGAGGGAACAGTTTGTGAGTATAAAACCCCAGACCTGGGAAATGGTAGCATATGATACAAGAGAACAGGGCCAGACCACAGAGGATTCTGAACATGACGGGTTTGAATTAAATGCTGAAGGTAGTTGGAGCCGTGGAAGTTTCCCTGCCCCGAATCATAGCAAATACATGTGGACTATCTTAGGTCCTCAGAATAATAATAGTAATACTCGCTGGCAAAAGGCCTGATTTGTTTAATTCACTCAAGATTCACAATGACCATACAAGCTACATTAGTCTCATTTTATGAATGAAGAAATTCAGACAGAGAGATTAAGCCTCTTGCCCAAAGTCACACAGCCAATTGTGGTAGATCTGTGATTTTTAACCCAGATAAACTGATCCCACATGCCTAACCACTGACCTTGCAGGGGACACCACTTCCCCCTTCTCTCTTATCCTTTCAGCCTTTACAAGCACCCATTAGTCACTTCCTATCAGCCCCAGTCCCTGCCACAAAGTACCTTTCAGTCTGGAGTGGAAACTGACATCTTCTTTCCTCATGAAATTGATGGATTGCTCATGAGATTGCCACCTCCTCTGCTGTCCCACTGTGACTGCCTAAAATAAGGCCTCATCAGTTCTCACCTAGACCCCCCCATTAGGCTCCTAACCAGCCAGGACTCCTCCAGTCCCTCCACAACCTCTGTAGCCAGAGTGATCTCGTCACTCTTCAATTTAGTCTTGTTTCTCTTCTGTCTAAATTCCATCATCTGCTCCCCATCACTATTAGGATAAAAACCTAAATTCTTGGGTCCTTTATGCCCAATCTTGCCTACCTCTTCCTCTTCATTTCCTGATGTCCTTCCACTTGCTGCAGTCACAGCACAATACTTACAAGTGGTTCCTTATATCCACCAGCCCTTCTGAACGCCTGTGCTTTGGTTTTTGCTTTTCAGCTCGTGAGCTTCCTGGGGGCTGAGGCCACATCTCATTCACCTTATTCCCCTTACTTAGGAGATTGAATGATAATTGGGTGAATGGATAAATTATGTTTTGCTTTACCTATCCCCAGAGACTTTCATGAGGGATCCTTGTTTCTGTGTATTAGTTCAACAAACACGTGGATCAGCACCTGTGTTTCGATATATTCCAGGTGCCGTGAGAAGGGAGGGGGCATGGTTGCGGCTCACAGTCCTGTGAGTGTGTTCACAGTTCTAAGGGAATGTAGGCTGGTGCTTCTCTCGCTCACTGATACATCCCCAGTGTTCAGAAGAGCGCCTGGCACCTAAGAGACAGCCTGAAAATAGTGGTTGAGTGAATGGATTTGGCTTCATTTGCTGCTTTGTCAGCTTGCAGTTAAGTTTCCTTGACCCTCATGAAATTAATTGAGAACAACTTCCTTGAAGAAGTTTCAAAGTATGATAACCTTTTCTGTTGGTGCACATCCTCACAATGGGAATATTGTAAGCTCAAGTTCACGAGTTTGGATGTCTTTCCCCACAGGGTGAGGTCTGACGCTGCCTGGCTGTGAGTACACACAGGCGCACACACATCCTTGCTTATGCTGCAAATCAGTTGCGGTGGAATTTGATTGGGATCTGCTCAGGACACTGTGGCTTTTGGCTGTCAGAGATGCTGATAGCATCTCAAGACACTGCACTGTCTGCACAAAACCTCTGCAGATGCTTCCCTCATGGAATGCGCTGAGCGAGGCCCCCTCTGATTATGGGAACTTTCTCACTGCATTCCATGGGGCAGGAAGCTGACCCCCAAAGTCTAATTCCACAGTCCTTACTCAAGCAAAATTCCTTTCAGTAGGACCAAATGTGTTTGTCTACAAACACTTACATATTTAAGGAATCAATTCATTTAAAAAAAAGTCCTCAAAATGAGCATTTATTAGAAAGGAAAGGCCTTCTTGATATTATACATATTAATATTCAGTACTGCTTACTGAACACAATTAGAACTTCACAGTATATGATGTAGTCTCTATGGTCTAGGTCATTTGACAGCACAATCTCTATCTGTATTTGAAAAACGACTGTGAGGATAACCTCGTGCTGGGTGACTAGTTTAAGTAAGCCCTTAGGTGTTTTCTCAGCGACCAGACATCCACACATTGGCCTGACTAAACCCAACTTCAACTCGCTGGTGATAGCTGATGAGCTCCGTGCATGAAATAGCCCAGCTGCCCATGGCAGGGAAAGGGGCCATGAACAATATCTAGAAGTCAGCTCTGGGTCTGAGGCTTCATCACTCCCTGTGATACTTGTGAAGGCCAGGACAAAGTCACTTTTATTCAGGATACCTATAAGAACGTGGCTGATTTGAAGAGGGTAGCCATTGCTTATCCTGTTGTGGTATTTCATGTCAATTACCCTTCCAGGCATAATACTATCCCTCTTGGAATAAGGAGGGCAGGTACCATGCAGGGGATGGACTGAATCCTGAAGGGTGGTGTATCTTGTCTAGAGTCTCTGCAGCTGTGCAGTGTCCTGAGCACTTCTGATGGCAATGGCAACTGTGCACACAGCCTGGGCTGCTGACATGTGGCACTGTGGGCCACCTGACTGCCTGAATCAGCAGTCAACTCAACCGATGCAACATAATCAGATAGTTTCTCAAAAAGTTAAGGGAACGCCCCAAGCAAAAGACCAGAGCACCTTGGCCCAGGGTCTGCCTTGACCTAGAGAAAGAGCACACGTTTCATTAGGAAAGGGCAAGAAGCCTTTATGTGACCCTATGTGCAGATTGAGGAATCTGTGCCCCAGTTTCCTCATCCCTAAAAAGTGGAGATAACAGCTACTACTGCACAGGTGAAATGTGTAACCCTAGGGTCAGCTATTTTGAAGGGTTCTTTCCTTCCTTTCTCTCTCCCTCCCCATAGACTCCCAACCCCCAGCCCTTCTGTTCTTCTCTTTTCTTTTTTTTCCTTATCACTTTTTCACTTCAATTACAGGATAATTTTTTTCATCCAAACGCCCTACATGTAACATAATTTGTCTTTTATTTCTGATTCAGAAATCAGACTTTGACCCAAGTATTTATCACTTTCTGCAGACAACTGCCCCCCACCCCAATTTGCCTGACCCTGAAAGGTGGTTACATGTTGTTCTCTGTTCTATTGTCATTTTAATTTGAGGTAACTATTTATGTGGCCTTATTGCCCACTAAATGCTTAGGACCTTGAAAGAAGGGCAGTTTTTGCTGTTGTTGTAGTTCCATTTCAGTCTCTAGCACTGGTTCAGAGGAAGTCTCAAGAAAATCTGGTTTACGAGAAAATTAATCAGATCCATCTAGGCCTGATTCTCAGAGATCTTGACCAACGTGAGCCAACCGACAGTGCCAAC